AATCACTCGGTCAATATGACAAGGCCCGAGAATATCAAGAGAAAGCACTCGCTATCAAAATAGAAATTGGTGACAGGGATGGAGAAGCAAAAAGCTACGGAAACCTAGGAACTTTGTTCCAATCACTCGGTCAATATGACAAGGCCCGAGAATATCAAGAGAAAGCACTCGCTATCAAAATAGAAATTGGTGACAGGGATGGAGAAGCAACAAGCTACGGAAACCTAGGAACTTTGTTCTCAATCACTTGGCAGGTATAGAGAGGCTGAAATTGGTGACAGGGATGGAGAAGCATCAATGAAACCTCATAAGTTTGTTTTTGGCTCATATCTAAAGAAGGCAATGGCAGTTAGAAAGGGTATCGATGACAGAACCGGAGAAGCATCAGACTACATAAGCCTTGGTGCAATTTCTTATAAGCGTGGTGAATATGATAAGGCTCAAGAAGATTTCCAGAAAGCCCTTACAATTTGCATGGACATCGGTGATAGAGAAAATGTAGTAGTCTGCTACAACAATTTAGGATCGTGTTACCAATCGCTTGGTAAAAATGACATAGCCGAAGGATACCTTAAGGAAGCTCTCCTACTAAGTAGGGATATTGGACACAACTTTAACGAGTTTGGCTGCCTTTGTAATCTATCGGTGTTAATGGCGTCACAAGGTCATCTTGAAGAGGCTTCTTCGTATCTTTTTCAAGGCATCCAAAAGTTCGAAACTTTGAGAGGTTTTCTTAAAGAAAACGATGAGTTTCAAATATCTCTTTTAGAAAAGTACGGCACCTTTCCCTACGAGTTGTTCAGCAGGTTGCTTTCTTCCACTGGAAAGCCTGAAGACGCCCTTTACGTCGAAGAGCTGAGAAGGGCAAGAAGCCTGGCCGACTTGATGACAGCTCAGTACTCTGTTCAAGAGCAGATCTCAAGCGATCCACTATCTTGGTGCGGCATTCAAGGGATCATCAGAAAAGAAACAGACTGTGCATGCCTGTACATTTCGGTTGGTGGAGATGAGGTACGGTTTTGGATAATAAAAGCAACGGGAGCTATTCTTTTTTCAGAAAAGAAAGTGAACCTGGACCCAAACAAGATGACCGGAATAGTCCCTGAGATAGATGAGTTTTTTAAAGAACTGATGTCACTTCGCCGCAACAACCGATCAGGGCTGCATTACTGTGATACCGAAGATTTCAAAACAAGTCTTCACTTGTGTTACAACATAATCATTGCTCCCGTGGCCAGTTTACTGAAGGAGCCCGAGATCATAATTGTCCCTGATTCCTGTGTGTACCAAGTGCCATTTGCAGCCTTGGCTGACGAAGGAGGCAAGTATTTATCAGAGACATGCAGGATTCGGTTGGTTCCCTCTCTCACGACTCTGAAGCTTGTTCAAGACAGTCCTCCAGACTATCACAGTGAGACCGGGGCACTGGTAGTGGGTGACCCTGTGGTTGGAACGGTGATTTACAAGGGAAGGTGCAGAAATATGATACCATTGCCGTATGCAAGAAAGGAAGCAGAGATGATTGGAACACTTCTTGGCGTAAGGCCTTTGATAGGAGAGTCTGCTAAAAAGCATTCTGTACTCCAAGCGATAAATTCAGTGAGCCTGATACACATTGCTGCGCATGGAGATCCCGAAAGAGGGGAGATTGCTCTTTCTCCTGAGCACCCTACCCTACTCCCACCTTTTCCTAGAGAAGAAGAGTACCTTTTGACGATGGCAGATATTTCAAAAACTCGATTGCGAGCTAAACTAGTGGTGCTTAGTTGTTGTCACAGTGCTCGTGGGCAGATTAGAACCGAGGGAGTTATTGGAATTGTCCGAGCGTTCTTGGGATCCGGAGCTCGTTCAGTGTTAGCGGCGCGATGGGCCCTGGATGACACAGCCACAGAGCAGTTCATGACTTGTTTCTACAAACATTTGTACCGCGGTGAAAGCGCAAGTGAATCTCTCCACAAGGCCAGGAGGTGGATGAGAAATAACGGCTTTGACAAAGTTTCTCAATGGGCGCCATTTATGATCATGGGCGACAACGTGACATTTGATTTTGGAAATTGGCCGGTGCCTAGCGCACCTTAAGAGCCATGACTTTGATAAAACCTCTGTAGCAGAATGAACTAGATTTAGTAAAGCTCACAACTATTTAATAACAAGCCTGTAAAAAGAGGACGCCATCTGCGAAGGACAACTCGGATCGATACACAGAGGAAAGCAGTTCTGTAAAATGCTTATCAGACATCTAAGTTTATTAATTTGAAAAAAGACAGCGTGTAGAGTATTTCTTTATAAGAGTTCCGAAGTTAAAAAACTCCAAGTTATTTTTTTAAGTCATTAGTTCAGTGAACAAGCCAAGCAAAGTGTGACAATTTTTAGGTTTCGAACGCCGTTAGTTTCAAAGGCGATTAGTTAGTCAATTCAAGAGACTTTTAAACAAATGCGTGACCTTGGAAAAGAAATTTTTTTCTGAGCTTAAATTTCTGGAAATTTCTTGAAAGGCTTTTGACAAAAATACTGTGGTTTAAAATGCCAAAATAAACACATTTAAAGAGAAGAAAAAAGGAGATACTCTTAATCGTATAGTAATACAAACCATTGTATTTTCAGATACCCCAGAAATTTTATCAATTTAATCCTTTAACCCCAAAGACTGACTAGCATCTAATTTCTCCTCACAGTTTCTCTCCTGAATCAAACATTAAGGTCATGAGAATAAAGGAAATGATCAACAAGTACAGGAGCTCTTGATTATCAAGCAAAATCTCCTTGTCAGCACCTTAGGGAAATGTATAGAAAACAGCATAGAGAATATGCATACTGATCTTAGTATGTAAAGGGTTAATTGATACCCCTATGCGTAGATAACATTGTATCCTCACACAGACTCTTGTATGCTTATAGATACTTTTTACTCATATACTCATTATCCTTCACTTTCGCTCTGCCGCTACTATTTCGCTCCGTTTTATCAAATGCATGAACGCCTGGAAAAGGTTACTTTATTATCAAAGGAAAATTTATGCATGGGAATGCTTTTTATTGACCAAAAAAACTAAACAGATTCTTCGTCTGCTACTTTTGTGCCATATCTGCGAGTAACAAGACAATAAATATACAATGAAAACCGAAAGAATACGAAGTATATTTATATACGATAAAAATTTGCAGCGTTGATTGTTTAAACGAGTTGTCATCAGAATTTCCCCCACTATCAGCTCAAAACAGTATTACAATACAAGGTAAACTTGGCGAGATGAAAACGGCCTGACTCATTGTCTGTCAACAAACTGCACTCTAACAGGTCTGCCAGGAATGGTGACCCCTCTCATGAACGGGTCCACATTCTCTACCTCCGGTTGGTAAGAGATGTCAAACTGCTGCACGATTCTGGCCATTAACAGATGAAGCTCTAACTCGGCAATACGTCGACCGAGGCACATACGTGTTCCGAATCCAAATGGAAGAGAAGTGAAAGCTTCTGCTGATTCGATCAAAGAGGCATCTTTGTTTCGCAATCATCTCTCGGGTTTAAACGCTTCGGCATCTTCAAAAATACTCTCATCTCGCCCCATTTGGTGAACAAAGAACTCAACTTGAGCAGTGCCCCCAGGAATATGGTAGCCCCCCAATATGATGTCTTCCTTCGGTCTTCGCGGGCCGGATAGCAGAGAGAACAGGGTATAGGCGGAGGGTCTCTCGTAACCAGGCCTTTAGGTATGACATCACGGCTGTTTCAAAACGCCCGCCAGTGGAAATTTAGTTCGCGCATGTCAGATTGACATTTTCAATTTGAAACCGCTGAAAATGTAAGTTTAACGGCTCAACAAGAAAGAGCCCACTGATAACTAGGTCGCAAAAAGTATATGCGCAAAGCCCAAGGAAATAGCTAACTTATGCGCAGACATTGTATTTTGCTTCCCTGGTTAATGTTCTCCTAGAGAAGATTGCGTGTGCGGGATAGTTAACTATGCGACGGCTTAATGGCATCTTGTTTTGACGCGAGATGACTTATCGCCTTTCTGAGGTCTTCTTATTTTCAGGCAAGATTCTGATTGATTCGAATTTTTCTTTCAATAAAGGAACAACTCAGGCTTTACGTCTCCCCTTTGCCATCAGTTTCTTTACCATGACGTTTTAATCCGAATTGTTTTGAGCGGTGTAATCTGCGATTACACATCACCACCGAAATAGTAAATATGGCGTCCATCTCCCCTTTGACCTCGAACTAATGCCCCTAAACTACGCGAATTTATCCTCTGAATGATCTCATGCTTACCCATGGGCTAAACAAAGAATACACGATTTATGACAAACTGATAAAATGTCCACGGCCTTCTGTTAGGTGCAAGAAAGTCGAACTACGTTCGTGTGATTTCCTCCTCGAAAAGTTTATGTCATCGATCTGTCACAGGGAGCTAAGTGAAATAGTGAAAGCACGGACAAGACGTTTCTTTCGGTCAACATTTCAATCATGATCACGGATAATAAACCTTACAATTATATGTTACCATTTGTGCTTTGATCTGATAGTTAAATCGTTTTTCTTGGCCGTGATTAACATGGTTTTTGGCGAATATTCCCTCTCCCTTCAAATGGAATGAACTACACGCAATAACACAAGAATGCAAATATTCCCGCACCCCTGAAGAACCGATCGAGAGAGATAAATAGACACCCCTTCCTGAAACAAGGTACAAACCCTAAGGGTGTACCCTTCTGAAGCAATAAAAGGCCGGAAAAAGGAACTTCGGAACATATCTTGAGTCAACTTAGAACTGCGTTGCTTAATCCAAGTTTAGTTTACAACTCGGTTCGATTAGTGCATTCAGATGGCTAACTTTGGTCTCTCTGAACATCAACAAATATTGGAAAAAATTTGCCGAATTTGTGGAGGGCGATTGAAGAAGGCAAAAGATAAGTATGAGAACAGTTTTCTTTGCGCCGATTAGACGGAGATTATTTTCACAGCCTTTGGTGTCAAAGTTCGTAAAGATGACCTTGACATGTGCCCTCCTAAGTTCTGCCACAAGTGTTACAAGCTTGCTTTAAGAGGAGGCACACGCCTTGCAATCAATGTGTGGCCTCCACACAAACGCACTGGAAACTGTAAGATCTGCAGTTTCTTTAAGGATCAACAGAAACCTGGTAGGAAGAAGAAGACTAAACCTGGAATAAAACCCAGAGAGGACTCAGCTGAACCCAAGGAACAAGTGGAAATGATGGAAGGAATGTCTGGCACTTTAAGCTTCCAACCTGACCCAGCCTCACTCTCATTCTCTGAGGAGGTAAAGAATCTACAAAGCTTAAGAGGATCAGAACCTCTTTACCCAGAACAGTTTGTTGAAAACATCAAGCATGAGTATATGTGCCCAATTTGCAAAGAGGTACTTGATCAACCAGTCCAGACAAAATGTCGAACTCCACACATATTTAGTGCTAGTTGCTTATCATTTTCTGTTGCCTATTGCTGTGAATTATAGTCTAATTATAGTTGGTTATCATTTTAGGAATGGAAGGCTGACATGGAACAATGCAATCCCAGAAAATAAAGTGCACATAAAACTTGGAGGAGATGCTGGTGGTGGGTCATTTAAAATGGCCTTCCAGATTGCTAACCTGAGGCTTCCAAATTCTAAAACCAACACAGTGGTCTTTGCCATGTTCCATGCAAAAGATAGTTGGGCTAATTTAAAGACAGCCTTAATGAAATATAAAGAACAAGCAAACACCTTGAAAGAAGCAACCTGGGCATAAGTGAAAAAAAATTTACCACACTTTTAGTTAATCGGGAGAATAGAGACTTGAAATAGCATAATATTAATTAAATTTTTATTTTTGTTTTGCCCATTTCTAGAGGTAAAAAGAAAGTGGTTTTCCTGTTTGGTGACTATGAGTTCCTATGCAAGCTATTTGGAATAGCTGGTGCCTCAGGTATGATCCAGACAATAATTCACATATACAAATAATAATGATTTAGCAATTCAATAAAAGAATATAAATGTAGCCTCTACTCTACATAACTATTTCTGTGAAACAGGTTTCCACCATAAGAATTGTATTTGCAGGCAAATATCCATGTCTTTGGTGCAAGATAAATCATGAAGTAATGCAAGTCTCTTGCCATAAACATGGGCATGCTGAAAAACAAAGTCTTGAAAACATTCAAGAGGATTATGATAAGTTTGTAGCAGATGGCTCTGTTACAAGTCGACAGAAGTTTTATCACAATGTGATTCACGAGAAACTGCTGGACATTCAATTGGACAAAGTAAGATACAAGAGTTTATTTTATTGCTTTGAAGAGGGAATTACAGGCCACCTAACTAAATGGTTGTCTATTTCAGGTTTGTGTTCCTGGACTTCACATTAGCTTGGGTGTGTTTAAGAAACTGTTTGATGAACTAGAGAACCAGTGCTTTGAGCTGGACAAAATATTTTAATTAATATTTTAGTTAAAGAAGTTATGATTTTATTTTATAGATCATTTATTTGTAATATTACAAGGGCTCAAATTATCAAATTATAGCAACTAAGCAGTAAGTCAAATAACCCAGATTTAAATAGTATTATCTCAACATTATAGGAAAAGCTTGCAGATGAACAAATGGAATTGGCTGCCTTTGAGAAAGCCAATGGACCACTATCGGTTCATTTGGATGAGGTTCTCAAGAAAATGAATGTTGAGAGACAAGCTTATCATGGAAAATTATTCATTGGTAATCATGTACACACTTGCTGCAAGGTAACACAAATTCTACCCTTAGAGTAGGAATTTGTTGAGTCACAAAATTTCATTGAATTGTTGCATTTGTTTTTTTGGTAGGAAGACAACATCATTAAACTATGCAGTGCTGTGCTGACAAAAACAGAGGAGCTGTGTCCTTCCCTCCTTTCTCAAGCAAGAGAAATTAGCATGAAATTTGAACAAGTTTTTAAGTTATTTGCTGCTTGCCACTTTGTCTATGACAGTGCAGACTATCTCAATGATGGCAAGATTGATAAGCTAGGTAACTGAAAGAAAAAACCTGACTTTCATGGAAAAACATGAATACAGCAATAAGATCATGTCTTAAGTCCACCTTTTCTTGTTTCCTTGTTGCAGAGGAAGACATCACAAATTTTCTTCAGTTCCTTAGGGAAAAATTTCCAGACACGACAATCACACCAAAGCTGCATATGCTAGAAGAACATGTTTGCCCTTTTCTTCGACAATGGCACATGGGCCTTAGATTCTACGGTGAACAAGGGATTGAAGGAATACACTCTGAATTCAATACCCAGTCCCAGCATTTTGACCATGTGAAGAAAAAGGACACGAGATTGCGTCAAATCCTTGTCAACCATCACATTGCCACGATTCCGGAACTAGCAGGGAAAGCTCCCAAACCTAAAGAAAGAAATTTAAAACGAAAAGCGAACGAGTAAAACTCTTTCCTTTTCAATAGCAATGTATCGGTTCGATGACTAAGAGCGAGTACTATGTGTGTAAATATAGTGTAATTTATTTGCTCAACTTCTAATTTAGACGAATAAAAGTGTTACTACAATCTTTGGAACCAAAACTAAACCTTTCCAGTCGTTTACAGACTGTTTCACTTGAAATTCAGTACCTCCGAGATTCAAAATGGAGTCGCATAACGGCCGATCTTAACATATTAAAAGCGCCTCGAATGGAGTCTTAAACAATTCGGATTAAAACACTTACCTCTGTCGGTTGTTCAGTAAGGTTTCAAGTCTTCTCTTTTGACTCTTGCTTTGCTGGGAAAAATTCGAGCCTTTTCCAAATTGAAATCAAAGTTTTCAGTTGATTTAATAGGGTGTGCTTGCTAGACTCCACCATAGCAACGTGTTTTCGTCGAACACAGGCAAAATTTGACCGATTTTACTCAAATTTTCGACGGCAAATGCCTCTTCTATTTGTAAGCATCCGCCATGCTAAATTTCACCCGCATACATTAGATACGCAGCAAGATTTCATTGGCTAAACTATATCTTAGCCCAAAGGGTTGCCATGGACGCTAGATTTATGCAAATGCATAATTTTGTATTAACCAGAGAAATAATAATTAACTCGATCTTTCCTGTAGACCGCATGCGCGAACTAAATTTCCACCGCGAAACAGCCGTGTAACAATGACTTATACTCTTCAGCAAGCAATGATTTAAAGCGAAACTTCAAGAGATGATACATCGCAACTGCAAAACCATATAAGGAAATCAAAACAGGTCTCTCCGGAAACGGACATTTCCTTTTCTTTAAAGGGGGTAAGTTTCTAAAGAAACTGTGGTGCTGCGTTGGTGGGAGAGTATAACAGGTAATTAAGAGTTAACAACTGAGTTGAAAACGTAAATTGGCCTCTGTAAAGAATTTAAAGGCATGTCTTTAGTCTTTTCTTTGCTTCTTGTTTCTTCAAGTTCACAGTTTCAACATCTCTAAAAAAGTTGTCACAGGGGCTGCTCCAGTTCTTTAACCGATTCCCACCAACACAATCACAGGTTTTCGCGTTTTATATATCTGCCGTCCAGAGTCTCACTATCTGTCCCCCACATTCCAAAATTAACAAGATATGAAAATTCCTAACCTAATTCCTTGAGTTTGTAATCAGTCACAGCTATGAGCTTCATCTTGGAAAATGTGTATGAAATAGACGATTGCTGAAATAACATATATACCAATGAACTACTAGAAGTTCACTTGGCACGCACTTGATTATTTTCATATTTTCCATTTGTTCATTTCCTGTCTTCTATCATTAATTAAAATTTTTCGTAATCAATTTGCATTAGTTTTTTTGTTTGGCTGCTATTTTGTTTTGCTGTTAGTGCAGTGTGAGCGTAGCAATCTGCTGCGGGAAGACTAGGCACTAGAATATACGGCGGGAAACTGTGCGCGAGGCATATGCAAATTATTACTAAGGATGGCGATGATGGTGGCGGCTGGGGAAGAGAACTCTACGATTAGATCTCTCCAAAGCAACTACGATGGTTCTTATTTTCTTCGACTGAGAAGAGGGTGTGTTTGCCTCCAAAAAATAATGATCAAAAGAAGACGCGAGAATGAAATTTTTCTTCTCCCAATGGACTGTTTATATTTGAGTGTTGCTCTCTGGAAGAAACAGCGATCACAAGTGATTGTTAAGCACAATGGCAGAGGTGTCGCCTTAAAGGTTTGGTAGTATTATAGTTTTACGCCACATCATTAATTTTAATGTTCTAGTATTCAATAATTTTAGTTTGTTGCATGGGAATATTAGGGAGCTTAATGGTCACAAAAAAATCGCGAGGGTTTCTAGATAGTCCAAAGATTCAACTCCTTGAGAGATCCCCAGTCTTTAGTGAGAGGAACTTTTGAGGTACCTCTGAATGAGAATCTGACATTTATGCAAGAAGTGATGGATACATTTTGGAGTTTCGCCAATTGGTGGTTTGTTCTCGTGGCTATCTTGCCGAGAAGAAGTCTACTTGTCGGTACGGTCTTATCTAGCACACCAAGGGTTAAGCTTTTTCTTGGTGAATTGCTTTGTTTTTGTCCCTAATTGAAAGGAAATAAACATCAAGCGCCCTTGTTGTTCATTATCAAATACACTGAGGCTAAAAATTGCAATTCTTGATTTTATTCTAAACATATTTTAATCGCTCTTTCACAGAACATGTGGATATATTCTTGTTCACAGAAGCTGCCAGCGATGTCACCATTACTGTAGAAGTGGACAATCCTTTCAAAGTTCTTGAAAACACTCCCATACTATATCTTCGCTGGAACTTTTCAATTTCTGGTAGTGACCCATTAAAAGAAGTTGATTTCTTTATCAGTAAAGAAGGTGCTGACGAGTACATTGGGTATCTAACCGACACTAAGATCAAAATCTCATCTAGTTTTTCTTCACGGGATCGTTTTACGATCGAGCGCCCAGCTACTTTAATAATCCGCAACGTATCTGCTTCGGATGCTGCGAAGTATATGTTTGCAGTTGAGCTGGACTCAGCGGAAAGAACGCAAAGTATAATCGACCTGCACGTTCTCGGTAAGTCAGTGTAATTATACAATCATTACATGTTGTGCGCTTAATCTTCCAGCTCGGACTTTGGCGAAGCCGATTTGTCTAAATAATTTTGTGAATTGTAAGTGAGAAGAGAGGATACAAACTCGGTTTCAAAATCCATGGAGAATATTGCACTACCTGGACAACGATTATTGTGAGGACTTTGTATTGATGATGGATACTTTATCCATGAATAGATTGTTGCTGACTGAATTTCGTTGAAAACCAATTAACAAGGATCAAAGCAATTAACATTTTAAACTACGGTTATCTTTTTATATGGCTTCAGCAAATGTACACTGCTACAATGTAGCTCAAATGCACCTCTATTGCCTTGTTTTAGTTCATCAGAGTTTGACATTATGAATTTTTGGGGATCACTCTGGCCCAGTGAACTATGTTATGTAATAGGATTAACATTTGAAACAAGCATGTCAAAACTTTTTTGAACTTGTGGGTAAAATATTATTTTTAGCATGAAGCAAGTTATGTAATGAGTGTGTAACCTTTCTTTTGACCTATAACGGCCAAATCCATTAAAAAATATGAACAAGAATGAGGTAAATCTCTATCAATGATAGCAGACATTTACCTTGATGCCTATTTTTACTGTGGATCCACAGCAGAAATGTTTTGAAACTCACACTGACAGTTGAGATTGGGATAGGGGTTGGAAACCAAAGACCAAGCACTGGTTGTTTAAAAGGTGGATAAATGCCTATCCACTGGATAGTAATTTATCCATTAGATAAGGTTATCTGTCCTTTGAATGACTAAGCCACGGCTTGCTCTGTATCATAGTTGCCACAGAGCAGGGAAAATTAACTGAGTCACTCGAGGTTTATAAAGGGAACCTGTGTCACCCATGGTTTAACTGGTATATCTAGCCACAAAAGTTTCTTAAGTGAAGTGCAGGTAGGCAGATTTTAAGTCAAATTAAGACATGTATGTGCTGTAAAAGTGTGTATCTTTCCATTATGATACATTATGAAATGAAATCAACTGGTTTTTTCTGAGACATTGTTTTAGAAACATTCTCTTGACTTGAAGTTTGTTTGGATATAATCAAATATTTAATTAATGTTATTTTTCAATGTTAGCGCCCGTCAAGTTAATCGGTGCACCAAGCAACCAGACCATCAATGAAACAGACACAGTAACATTTGTCTGTAATATTAGTGGTAATCCAGCCCCTGTAATCAAGTGGTAGAAGGATGAACTCACTGTTGGTACAGGAGACACACTCAGCTTTCCAGTATTCAGGAATCAATCAGGATACTACTGGTGCTTAGCTGATAATGGCTTAAATGTGGCTGTCAATGCCAGCGCTTACCTTAATGTGCATTGTGAGTGTAAAATCAATTCAAAAGAATTTTTGAAATGATACAAATATAAATGCAAAACATTCCAGGGACAATCATTGAATACTAATGGTCTATGATAGATTTTGTTTATTTGTCAAAATGATAGCTTAAATATCACAATGTACCCCAGAGCTGCTATTATTTCAGTATATGTGGTGTTGATTGTAAAATGTTGATTGTGAAAAGGTCCCAAGTTGATTATGTATTGGTAACTTGCCAAGAATTTATTTTGCTGACCTTTCGTTATATAATGTTATTTTAATAGCCATATAAATATATTCCATTGTCCATGTTATTTAAGTTAGGTTGAGTCAATAATTGTTGTGAGTCTAGTGATTAAAGTTTATTTCACAGTTCATTGCTCAAGCACAAGAGCTTACCCAAGTTATTTCAAAACATTATTCATGATGATACAAAGCAGAGGCTAGGAACACAGCGGCCAAATGTCTACTCTTGTGGGAACATTGTAATGACTAGGCTACATGCTCTCAGGCTGTCAGAGCCAAGTTATCTCACACTAGTTATAAAAAAAAAACCACTTAACCCTGTGAAGTTACAGTGTTTTAAAAGCATACAACTTTTTTCGGTAAAGCTCAAAAGGAATGGTAAATCATCAGGATACCCATACTTAAATTTTCTGAGGGAAAAAGGGTTATTTAGTATTATCAGCTGAATTGATAATGGAAATTGGCCACTGTGTAGAGTTTGAAAGCTGATGTTTCAAGCACTACCCCTCAGTCAGAGAGAAGGGCTAATGCTCAGCTTTCAAGCTCTTCATGGTGGCCAATTTAAATTATCAACTCAGTTGATAACACTAATTCACCTTGCTATACTCTCCCACTGACAGCACCACAGTTTCTTTAAAAACTTACCCCCTTTATTCATTTGTGTCCCAAAAGTCTGATATTTTTTGTGGATAGCACACCACTGGAAGTTATTCACAAGCAGTAACCTTGGTCTTTTGAATAAGAATTTCAGTTAAAACTTCGCACTATAATTTTTCCAATTCATCAGTCGG